GTGATGGGAAACCCGTGGGGATTACAATGGAGATGAAAAAAAAATGTGCAAAATGATGTAAAAATAAACTTTTTAATAAAAAAAAAAAAGAAAAAGAGTTTTTGGTTATCAGTTTTGCAAGCTTTAGAATAGTTCTTTGGAATAGTGTCATGATTCAAATTCTCGTGGGGGTTGTCTTACCTTGATTACTTCTGGGGTCTGCTGAATCAAAACCACTGAAGTAGTATCTTTGGGTTTATCACCAACAGGACTTCTACAGACTGATAAATTGGTCTGGGAGGAAGTTGTTAAAGTTTCCTGTAGAATCTGCATCATTTCCTTTTCTTGTGATAGGCTCCCTCTGCCTGATTTGCATTCAACCAGTTCTTGAGCAAAGTCTTCAATACTTTCAAGAATTCTTATTAAAAGAGCTCGATCTTCTTCCTCTATTTTGTGTCCATTAGTTTCAATAATCCTTGTTAGACAGGAAGGTGAAACCTTTTCCACAGGTGAAGAGATGTTAGACTTAAATTCAACATCTACAGGGAACTGACTAGTCAATGGACTGTGACTATTAAGAGAGCTAGAGGTTTTACTCTTGTTAAGTGGCTCTCTTAGAGAGGTCTCCATTTTCTGTGAAAAAGATTCCAAATCCATCAACAATTTATCTATCTCTTTCTGACTGTTAGGATTCATAAAATCTCTGTGGTCTTCCTCTTTAAGTTTAGGAGCTTTTGATTTAAGGACTTCCTCAGGTAGATCAACAAATGGCTTCTCAAATATCTTACCAATTTCATTTTGCATTGAAATAGGACAGTTTTTAAGATTAATATCATGGCCTGAAAATTCTGCTCTCTCTTCATTTACTTTTAATAACTCTTGATTAGGTCCATTTTCTGTCCTTTGTCCTTTATCTGATGTTTTTTCTCCATCTAACTCTTCTTCAATATAAAGGGTTTCCATTAAATCACCAGAAGAAACATTTTCTAAGTTCTTCATGGTTAATGACTGTGATTGAAGTGAAATATCTTTTAGCTCTCTGGGGTCATCTAAGTTATGTAAGGAGTTTGTAGAGTTGTCTGGAATGGATTTTACAGTATCTGCTTTCCTAGAGTTGTGCTTCTCATCTTGTTTTTCTATAGTTTGAAACTGTCCAGAGTCAGGGGCTGAGAGCTGAACCACATCTTCATACTTAGGTGGTTGTTCAGTGCCAAATATTGGGGAGAAAGGAGTCAGCTGTAAACTAGGCATATTACTGACAAGTTCTGTTAAGTCAATAGACTCATTAGTACCAGACTGCATGAATTCAAATGGTAACTTTTTCAGATATGATGCTAACCTGGTCATCACGGTCATATAAACAGTTTCAGAGCTAGAAATTGCATCATTACCACCTCCGTCATTGAAGTTGGTCCCTGACTTTTTCTTGATGCACTGTTTTATGATGTCTGTGCATTTTTTTAAGTCCTCAGAGCATTTTAGCAAGATGTCCAAACACATCTTTATGTCTGTTCCAGAAGAAAATTGATCTATTTTATGTTTTTCCAAAATCTGAGTAACCAGGTCTTCAGAGAAATTTTGAAGAAACATTGAAGTCAGGTTGGTATCAAGTGAGTTTCTATGGGCCAAAGATTTTTCCTCAACTGAAGAACTCCGGAGTAAACCAAAGGTTGGGGAATTCCCATCATTATTATAATGGCCACAGAGCAAGTCAAAATCAACTGACCGCCTATTAAATGAGTCAGACTTAACTTTTCTTCCCTTTTTGTAAGCTGCATGGTTAGAGTTTTTGAGTTTTTCAAGGGAAAATTCTTTTATTTTCCCACTGGCAAAACTGATTGCTTCTCCTGCAATGTCTTTTAAATTACAAGTGCTCTGAAATGTAGGTCCTTTCTTGATCCTAGGTATGCCTATAAGGGCCTGATGAGGATAGTCACCTTCTGCCAAGGAAAATCCATTTTCATGGGGTAGGAAAATAGAGTCCAGATCTGCATCTTTGAATTGAGACACAGGGATGTGCAAGAGGTCTGCACAAACACTATGATGTACCACAATGCAGTCAAGTCCATGTGTGATGGTGTGGCAGGTTCCAGTGCAATAATGTATAGCTTGCTCAAAACGCCGGTCTATCACCACACTGCTGTAGTGATTCACAGTACTAACCACAAGTCTGTAAGTTGCTGCCATAATATCAAATCCACTTAGTGGTGGGACTTGGAAATTTCTAAAACTTGTTTCAAGTAAATTCTGCTAAATGACACTTAGCTGAAAATGTATTTCATGGCAAAATACACTGGTTATTTACAAATATAATGACCTTTCCCACAAGGGGAAATCACTTAAATTTGAGGTCTGGTAATTGTTGAGATACAGTAGTTGCACATGTGTGCTTGTATCAGCAAATCCAATAACTTAATAATTGAGCTTTTTAGTTTTACTTGGTAATATGATACCATTGGGTTATTTTTTCCTTAACCAAAGGATATCCTTTTAAGTTCTTCAGCAGTTGTATGATGAAGAAATTTGTAGTCATATGTCTTAGTTGGTAGTATAGAAGTACTGTGGTAACTGAGTCCTCTGAAGGTTTAAATGATCCATTTTTTTTTCTGTGACTGACAGAGGAATCTATAATAAAGAGAAATTAAAAGGAAATATGAAATTCTTTTTGATATTTCTTGAAATATTATTTCTTAATCTAAAAAAAACATTTTATTTCCTTTTCCTTTGCATCCCATACAGTTAATCACCAAACCTTATTTGCTACATCACTGATTGCTGATTTATCATGCCTTTGTATCATCATATTCTAAAGTCCTCAGTAGCTAGAGTAGTAATACCTTAATTCTGCCTTAATACAACTCTCTCCCAGTTTTTTTAACATAATATTTACAGCTTTTATTGATAGGTTATAGCTATTATGCCAAATTCAGCCATTAGTTCACAACCTCATTTCTTACCTAAGGTTAATGAAAACATTTTACTTAAAATGGGGGATAGAGGCAAAGTACCAAGAATTAAAGTCTTAATTTTACACTTGAAATAACAAAAAAACCCGTAGTCCCACATATCAAGAACACACAAAGCAGTGACTAACAAAAGAAAATGGCTTTAAGACATGCCAGTCTTTCGTAATATACACAGTGAAGATGTACTTATAATTTGTCTTCAGATAGCAAACTTCATAGTCATCATTCAATTAAAATAGACACATGTTTAAAGAAATTAACTTAAGTTTTATATCTGCTTATAAAATAGTTCTTAAAAAATACCTATGTAAGGAAATAAAAGACTTGTCAAGACAGAAGGTAAACTATAAATATAAAATATGCCACAAAGTTAAAAAATCTATTTTCTATAGGAAAATCAATAAAGATAACTCACTCTTTTATAGGAAAAAGGTTTTAGAATTACAAATTTAAAATGTAAATTGTATATGTGGATTCAATAAGGAAAACATTTAATGTTTCATTACGATATAATCATCATCTATTTTGTGGAAAACAAAAATAAATGTCTTTTTGAATACTATAACTCAAAACCAAAGGCTAATGTTTATTTTTCCTTTACTGGCAAGTTCTGATGCATTTTTAGTCTTTAATTCCCAAAGAATATCTAAAGTTATACCTCTATCTAGTTTGCCAAACTTTTTCATACATACTGATTCTATTGAACTCTATTCATGTGTACTGATTCTTTCCAATTCTTGCTTTACTGGATGTTCTTTTGGTTTAATTCTTTCAGTAAACAAATTAAAAGTTTAAAACACTGAATTTAATGTGTAAACAGAAACAAAATCCATTTCTGCAACAACTCATATCCAGAAACCGACATTATACTCTTCAGCACCTCATTCACAGCACCAGTGTTGATATTCAAGACTATCTACTGGATAGTGTTCATCAACTTTGTTACCAGTTATTATGATCAACTCAAGCCCTTCCACTCCTGTCTCCTGAAAAATATGTAGCAGTGACCTCAGTTGGTATTATTCTTTGCATTCCCCTTATCCCCATATATGACATTAATAGGCTTAGATTTGGACAGCACTTACATTTGCCCCAGTTCAAGAATACATGTAACTGATGTCCACCCTACACAGTTGGAGGTCTACCTCCTTTGACTCAACATCTGTTTTTCAACATCTGTCTCCATCTATCTTTAACCTTATTTTCTAGCACTGCCTTGAACCAACCTTTTGCATTCCCATCAAGTTAGTCTTTTCAAAGACTGTCAATAGACAATTCTTGTTCTTGATTCTACAACTTCCTCTACACTGGAACTTATTTTCTCTACATTTTTCTTACTAAGAGAACAAAAACCTTTATTGCTCTTTATTTCAGACCCTGTCACAAGTAGGTATCTCTCTTACCATTCAAGAGGATAGCATTAATTCTCTACTTAATCATACTATTGCTTTAGGAAAAAAAAAAAAAAAGCTTTTAAACTGTATTGTAGTTGCATTCCAAAAGGTTCAGTCAAAATATTCACTCAAAAAATATTGAGTACTACTATATAAGAAGTACTTGTGGCACTCCCTGGTGGCGCAGTGGTTAAAGCACAGCACTAAGAAGCTAAAGCCACTTCCACATAAGTTCGAACCTTGCCTGTCCCAGAGGTGACCACATGGTGTGGTAGACCTCTCCTGGCCTGCCCACTGCTCTCCTCAGCAGTGTACTTCTTCGATCTGCCTGTTCAGCTCCCCACTCTGTCTCTGTTGAATCCTCTCACCATCTCTGCACCTCTGGCCTGTACCCCATTGCTGTATGCATAAATAAATAAATCTTTAAAAAAAAGAAGTACTTGCTAAGTACTACATATAAAAGTGTGAATAAAATAAAATAAAGACTGGAGCTGACAATCTAGGTGGAAAAATAAGAACAACATGTAAGTAAAAATATAACTTAGGTGGTGATATGTAAAAAAAAAAATAGCAGTGCAAGGAGGATTTAGAAAGCAGGAGAAGGTGCTGTGTTATAAAGCATAATCAAGGAAGACTACACTGACATGTGAGCAGAGACCTGAAAGAAAAATGGAAATAGTCTTGAAGAAGTATTAAGCTAAATCATCTCATGTAGAGTAACTGTAAGTGCAAAGGCCCTGAGATGGTAACATGCTTGATTTACTGTATGATAAAGGTGTTAAGAGTCACAGAAACAAAGACAGCAAGGTAGGAAGTATGTGAGATGAAGCAAAAAAGGAAAGGTGGAATGTAAATCATGCAGGGTCTGTAGACTGCCATGATGAATTTGGTTTTAATTCTCAGTGAGCTGAGAACCAACAGGTGGGTACTGAGTAGAAAAATGACATGACTACACTTACATTTTAAATTGGCAAATTTGGTTTCTGTGTTTAAAAGTGACTAGAGGAACAACAAAACAGGGAAACAAGTTAGGGAGTTATTACAATAAATCAGGTAAGAAGGCTGGTGGGTCTGGACCAGGATAGTAAGTGTGGAGATGTTTAGATGCTATCTATAGTTTAAAGGTGGAGACAACATGAATTGCAGAAGAGCAGAATGTGTATTAGCACTTCATTAAGGATGATGTAAGGCAATAAGGCAATGATAGGAAGAATATGACAGCAATGAAGAAGAGTCTCAGTTTCACAATGTCATCAATAACACTTTTTTCCTTAAGTGTCCCACTATCATTTTTTATTTTAATTTTTTTAAATTAAGGTAACTGGTTTACAACAATGTTGTGATTTGGAAATGAAGGATTTTATTGCTGTGTTTTCAATCCTAGAAAGCTAATATGCTTACTTGTTGTGTATCTCCTTTGGTTGTTTGCGTCCTTTGCTAATAATGATCAAAACCAGGAAACTGACATTGATATTATGAATTGAATTATAGGCTCACTTGAATTTTAACAACTTTTCAACTGCTCATTTCACCTTCCGTCTAAAGGAACTACCACCACAATCAAGACACAGAACTATCTCAAGCTCTCAAAAAAAAACCCAAACAAACAAAAACACCAAACACTTTATACTACCCCAATCCTAGCCCCTGGTAATCACTGACTTGTTCTCCCTCCAATCTTGTAACTTCCAGAATGTTAGGTAGCATGCAATACATAAACTTTTTAGATTGGTTTTGGTATACAATGTTTTTGAGAATTAACAGTTTACCCCTATTTTAGTATTTGAATTAACAGTTTACCCCTATTTTATTGATAAACTGTATTCCAATGAATGGAACAACACAGTTTAATTGTTTGCCCATTAAAGGATACTTATGTTGTTTTCAATTTTAGAAATAAAGCTGCTGTTAATATTAACGTATGTGTTTTTGTGTGAACTTAGTTTTCATTTCTCTAGGTCAATACCCATGAATGTGATCATCAGGCTGTATGTTAAGCATATCTTTATAAGAAACTGCCAAACTGTTTTATGACATTGCCCATATCACTTTATTATTTCCAATAGTAATATATGACAGATAAGGTCAATTCCACAACCTCTTGAGCAACTGGGATTGTATTTTCTATATTAGCCACTTAATAGGCCTGCCGTGCAGCTTTAACTTACATTTCCCTAATAGCTAATGATGTTGAATATCATCTCTGCGCATACTGACCATTCCTTATTTTCCTTGGGGAAGTGATGTTTAAATCATTTGCCCATTCAATTTTAACTTATCAAGTAACACGTGGCTTGTGGTCACCATATTAAAAAGTATAATTGAAGGTAATACAAATGCAGCTTTTAGCAAGTCTGAGACTTTAAAAAGAAAATACAAAGAAAAAAAAGAAGATATGGTAAAAATGAAGATTGGCAAGCTTTTAAAATGAAATCTGATGATTTCACCTTCCTTCTAAAGGAACTACCACCACAATCAAGACACAGAACTATCTCAAGCTCTCAAAAAAAAAAAAAAAAAAAAAAAACCCAAACAAAAACACCAAACACTTTATACTACCCCAATCCTAGCCCCTGGTAGGATGTCATAAATGATCTCTCTGAGAAAGAAGAGGGAAGAAGTGTTACAAAGTAATTACTAATTTAAGTATTTGAGTTAAATTTTGAAGAGAGGTGAATAATGGAGAAAGGGAGCATAGAACAAGGTCACACCCTCTGGGGAAGCACTATTTCAATGAAAAATTTCTAGTCTCAAATGATTTTATTTTTTTTTTAAGATTTTATTTATTTATTCATCTGGAACTGGGGTACAGGCCAGAGATGCAGAGGGTGAGAGGATTCACCAGAGACAGAGTGGGGAGCAGAACAGGCAGATCGACGAAGTACACTGCTGAGGGGAGTAGCGGGCGGGTCAGGAGAGGTCTGCCTCGCCAAGTGGACTTCTCCGGGGCAGGCGGGAATTGAACTCATGCGGAAGTGGTTTAAGCTTAGTAGTGCAGTGCTTTAACCCGCTGCGTCACCAGGGAGGGCCTGATTTATTTTTTTTTTTAAAGTACCAGGGAGATTAAGATTACTTTCTTGGCATTTGGGTCAAATCTGTAGGTGTCAAATTCTGCCTTTTTACTCACCATGAGGCTGAACTGTCCAGTTGAAATTCTACTCAAGGAATCTAATCCAACTATATTCAATCAGACATTCAATCTAACTCTGAACAACAAGTATATCATATCTCTACATGAAAATCAGATTTCCTGAGCTTGAAATGC